CTCAGGGCATGTTCTGGAATTGAATTTGGGTGGAATTATACATTCCGTATGATAATGGCAAGGCAGCGTTTCCAGACGAAGCAACATGCATTGCCATTGATCTCTCTCAAAGTTTTCATTTTCACTCATTGGCTTTGGACTTAGAGTTCATAAGTAACGGAGATCTGATAAGCATAGCAGTAATGAGCTGGATTATGCCTGCAAAACTTTCAAATGTTTTTTGGACCCCTAACAGTAAAATAAATTTAAAACAACTGGAGCCAGACCAAATCCCCAAAGCTGCACTATTGCCAACTCCAGCTGAGCGAAGCAACCACAAGATATGGGATTTTATCAGTCTTTACAAGCTTTTTTAAAAAATACATCCTATAACTATTTGCTTTCCTCTCCTTTTACAAACCTGAACGTCTCATTTTTTAAGCTTTTTGTTTCAGACATGAGGGCTACAAATGAACTTTAATGAAGCTAAACATTTAAGAAATAAGTATCAGAACACTTTTGATAAAAAATCTGAAGAATCAGCAACACTCTAAGACTGTTAAGAGCCTTAATTAAAATAAAGCCATACTATAAAATGTGTTTACATAAAAAATAACATTTACTGCAAAATAATTTTACAGTTACTTTCCATTAGTTCAAAGTTTTGAAAGTGCCAATTCATGCAAGAACTAGATTTATTTACTATTTTAGATAAAAGTATTTCCAAACGTAATTTAATGATACTCCACTTCCAATAATTTACAGTAGAATTATCTATGTGTTTCCTTTAAAGGCATTGGGATGCTATATTCAGCCAATCTGGAATGGAATATTGATCCTTTTTCTTTGAAAACTCTTCAGATAAGACAATACTAAATAAATATGATTTACTTTCAAAACTGTTTGAGCTGAGGAAAATTAAAATACAAACATCTATCATTTTCAAAGGAAAATACATGATCGGAATCTATCTTGTGAGCTTTATTTTACAAAAAAAAAATTAAATATACAGCTCTTTCTAATCACCTTATTGCCATAAGGAATAAATTCCGTAAGATCTGTGATCAAAGCATTACACAGGACTGTCTACATGTGTATTTAGCATAACTGGCACTTAAGAATGTTCTTTAAAGAAAGAAAGGTCACTTTTCATTTTTTGTAATATCATTAGATCACTGGGATCATATGTTAATGTCATTACATCCGTTCAAGCAAACAGAAAATTATTTGTTTTAGTTTTTTTGGAATGCTAAATATTTTTTGTAAAATGGATAACAGCAGCTTGGTTAGTGATTACTCAAACAGCTATCAACTCTGAATCACTCTAAAAAAGTTGTTCATACCTTATTTTTTCATTTACATTTCTGTGCTAGATCTTCCTTTTTTGTTGATGGATGATAGCATCATGACTACTAATATTCTCCGATTAAAAGTGCTTTCCATTTTTCATTGCAAAGAACTTTTAATCCCCAACAAATTATCTCTTTGATATGACATGTTCTTTTGAGTTTGGATCTTCAAATTCTTGGAGGTTGTACCTGAAATTATCCCTTCTGTTCTTGCCCAAACAGAATATTTAAAATACGTTGACCTGTTCCCCACTACCTTTGTACTAGAGTAATTTTATTCAGAGTTTAGAAAAGACATTTACAGAAGAACTGACATTGATTGCTCAGATAAGTATTGAACACAAATTTCAAATGAGCTGTGGGAACCGCAGATTCTGTTTCCTCAGGAGCAGAGCAGTACAATGAAATAAGAAGAAATGAAATGACTAGAATTTCTATTCTTTTGAGAGTATAAACTAAAAAAGAAAAACAGTTGGCATCCATACCACTCTTTTTCTATGACTGCTTAGTCATGTAGGCACATAGTTCATTCATTTCTCTCTATCTTGCCCTAAAATTTTATGGGAGCTTTACTTCAGCCACTATATCATTTCAAAATGTCTGCATCATTGGAACAGAGTTTTAACACAGTAAAACGTGCAGTGAACCATTTCTTGCAACGGAATCCTTCAAAGCACGCTTCCCTGAACAGCTTATTCCCTGAAAATGCAGTGTCCGAGATCCACATGGCTCTCACTTTCTGACTTAAGATGCTTTAAAGTGTCAGTTGTTGTGTAAGGTATGTCCAGTCTGTGAATCTTTTTTTTGCTATGTCCTGTATAATCCTTTAGCTCCTTGTGTCCTCTAGTGTCTGTCTATCAACATTGCACAAATTAAGAGATTAAATGAATACTTGCTTCTGTTTTCTGATCTGAAAGCACAGAAAAAAAACAGCTCGTTTAACTTGTTATCCTATAAATTTTATTCTGTATTTGTTTTTACTAAATATTATTTTAATAATGCTAGTTTTAGGATTTTTTGTCAAACGCTGCCAGCAACTGCAGCTGTATTGACAGATACCTTATATATCTTCATACACACATACATATACTATCTATTTATCTGTGCTTGCTGGGGATTTTAGCAGCACATATGTACATTTTACTGTGAAAGTCAATGACAAGACTTGGTAGGAAACGTGTATTATTTTATTACATAGTGAGGCATATTTTCCTCTCATTTCGGCATGCCAAGCTGTCACTGAGGTCCATAAGAGCAGCTTCTACTAATCCTGAGCAAATATGCAGACACAGACTACAGTACTTTATTACAGAATTTGGATTTTAGTCTACTGCAGAAAGATAATATGAATTTTTGCTTCTAAAGATCCATTTGAACCTATATTGTGGTACAGTTCTATGATTGTATGTTTAGTTTCCATGTTTCAGTACAGAATGCATGGAAAGAAGTGAAAAATGGTTGTCATATCTTATTCTGACCTATTCAATTTAATAAGCCTACTTGCTACTAAAAAGTAGCTTTTGCCACTTCACCAGATTGTTGGGGTATTTATGCGCAATGTTTCTCACATTGAAGCTGAGTTATTTTTATATTTTAAAATGATATATATGGACTGAAATTCAGATTGGCCTTAATATTCTGTGGTAATCTGTAAATTCTAAACTTCCAATTAAAGATTACTGAAAATATAGCACTTACCTCTTATTATTTAATATCCTCAGATTGTTTACTTCAGTTACTAGATTAAAACCTTGGCTGTGCGAGTGGGATGAGAGCCTTGGATGCTCTGTTCCTTAGATCTTTCCTTACAGCAGGACAAAAGATACGACTTTGGAATTCAGATTCAGTTCCAAGCATAAACTTCACATATCAACTGACAGGTTTTTTTTTGGTTTGAAGCATTCTAAATGAGAAATTCAGCCTGTGACAGACTCTTGGCACAAATTTACCAATGTATAGGCATCAGAAAATGGATTACTAAAATGGGAAGTTTTAGATAAACAATAATAGAAGTTGTACTACACTTCTAGTACAACGCCTTCAGTCAGTTTGTCTTGAGATATTGCAGGTCACTTTACTGCTCATAGTAAACCAAATGTTTTTGGGTTTTCTGACTTACTTCACCTAAACCAGTTAAGCCACTTGACTAAATAAATATGAACTGTTCAGCAAGAATGAAAGCTGTCTAGGATGACACTTCTTGGAATAGAATTTATAAGAGCAATATAAGATTCAGTGATTTTTTTTAGAGATTGCACAAAGAGAGGGAACAGGAGGAAAGATAAAGACTTAGAGAAATGTCAGCCAGACTTGGTAAATGTATTTGATTCTCCGTTGGAGCTGGTAAAGGTTTTCTTCTCTCAGAGTACACGGTACTATTTATTTAACATTTTTTATTTACTATTTAACAGGTGGTTCTGGATCCACCAGAAAAACAATATTATTTCTAACAGTAAGATTTATAAATGAGCTAGTTGACGGCAAAGTACTTAATACTTTAATGTACATTACTTTGCAGCATTCTGTCATACCACAACAATACACAGACACATAAATATGGATATTCTGATGACTACAATAAGTACAATCCAATCCCCAAATTTTAGTGGAAGTGCTTCTGCCAACTGTCCAACAACCAGTAGGTGTAGATCAGATCACTCAGCACCGCGGGAATGCTCAGAAGAGTTTATGGTTCTTTTGACCAAATATTATTGTTCTTGATGTTTCTAAACAGCTGAGCTGCTAGTGTGATGACAAAAATCTGAGAAACCAGAAAGTGTGAGTTAAAAACTACAAAGTGTTTATACTCACTCATGTCTCAAACAAACCGACAGGTAATCTGGCTCCTATGACTGGCAATGCAACAGGATATAAAGAATATAAAAGATTATAAAGGATCAGGACACGTGCCTCAGTACACAATCGATATTTTCTGCATTGGAATGGACTTGCTGTGTAACCTTGAGCAGGTCACTTAGGTCCACATCCACAAAGTATCTTGAAATCTATTTCAAGAGGCATATAAATCAATTAAGTTTCCAAGTGTCCTGTGTTTTTAACTTCCTAGGTGGAGATTACAGTTCTTTCCTAACAGACAAAAAGGTATCATAAACGATAATAAAGATTATTTGAATACGTATAATACATTTTTTTTTATTAATGAACTAGTCCACTCCATGCATAGAATGTTTGACTCTCCCGTACATGCATTACATATGGAAAGGGCAAAAGAGGTCCTACTCTTAATTCTCTGAGTAAAAATGAAATAATCTCATTTTCAACTCCATGATTTTAGGTACTACCAGAAGTTCTTCCTGCTCACTTGATAGTATTCAGCCTTTCGGGTGTTTTTGGAGTGAAGAATCAACTCCCATTGCTATTATTCACAGGCTTTTGTTTTAAAATCTTTATTCCTTTTCTCCCTCCCAAATTTTCTTTTTTTTTTATGAGAGTTTTTTCATTTTATATTGTTTTATTTAGCACATTCAGGCTTTAGATTCCATATAAACATATGACAAACTCAGATCTTTGGCTCCAGAGATTTAACTGCTTCACAGCCTTATATTTCAGTTTGCTTTCATGAGTATAGTCAAATATTTTATTAAATAAACCTTCAACACCAACATCGCCAATGGTGCTTGAATAGATGAACAGTGCTATATCTCACATCTAATTAAAATTAACAGAAGCTTTATAAAATAAAAGAGAGTATGCCAAATCCAAATGGCACTGAATTGACTTTTAGCCCCAGCAGAATGTCATTTTTTTCCCTTAAAATTACTCTTACCTGTATAATTAGCAGGACAACATTAATTGCAGTTAAGATCAAAACAGTGTTTTCAAACCACGTATCTAAATATTCTTCACAACCCTAAGGAAGTACAGATTAACAGTTTTCAAGAATAATCATTTTGGCTCTAGAATTCAGATTTCATATTTATAACGAGAACATACTGTTAAAACATATATAGAATAAATCTGTGTTTGATGTGATGTGTTCTGATATTCACTTGACAAAAAGTAAATACAACAGTAATGTATATTGCAGAGACTGGCTGTAACACTTTAAAAATGATCTAAGTTATGCAGACTGTTCTTAAGTAAATACATGAGACTTTTGAAGTGGAATGTACCAGAACTTGTGTCTTAATCAAGAGGGACTTTGCTTTTGTAGGAGCAGAACTTAGAGACTACTTTACAAGTAAGTAAAGTTTTCAAGTTTTCCCTGATTCTCATGCATTACGCATCCTGATATTGATGTGCATATATTCCAGATTATAACCTTATATTAAGGATTTACAAATCATTACAGAGCTTAAAATACTTATAAATATAAGTAAATCCTTTCTGTCCTTTTAAGTGATCTTTTAATAAAGAGTTTGTAGCAACAGCTACCAATTCCAAATTGAGAAGCAAAGAGAATTCCATAAGCCTTTCTATTACTTACTGTCCTGTCTTGTCAAAAGAGAACCCCTACTATTCCAGTACTGGAGGGCTTTTACAAAAGAATATTTTTCTCTTTTCGCTCATTTTCTAATATCAAAATGTGATATCTGTGATATCTGACAATCCAGTGCAAGCCAGTCCTCCTATATTAAGGGTGGTAAATCCTGACACGAACTATTTCCTGACAACACATCTTTTATTTTAATGCCTTGCTCATTCCTCTTATCCAGTGAGGTACATGAAGATAATCTGGAAAAGGATAAGAGAGATGAAGACATCACTGACATCCTATATATAAATGACTAGTAATTACAACTGCAGAGATACTGTATACTTCTTACATGCTATTTCTTTCCTTTATCATCACAATATTGCAGAATTGATTTTTTGCGTGCCAGGATGCTTACTACATCATAAACCATTAGTAATCGTCCCTGTGTTACTGATTCTGAGATATCTCCTGTGCCAGTTATCTTGAAGTGTCCTTTATTTATAACTTTCTGTGTGATTGATACCTTCGGAGTAAAGACCAAGTCTTCAGGAAGGCCAAAGGCAAAGCAATGAATATTTTGCATACTTCAGTATCTGCAACGAAGTCTTAGTGGAAAATATGTTCGGTTATTTTTTTTCCCAAAGTTCATTTAGTGGCAAAAGTTGCATTCTTTCAGCTATGTTCCTATTCCTTACCATATGATATGTTGAATTCCCTGGGACATCACAAAACAATTTCTTCAGACTAGATTTTGTGCACGAACATGGGATCTCACTACTATTTTTTTTATTTTTATTCTTTTCCCACTGGGTGATGTTGTATCTTCCACAGCATTCCATCTAGAATAGAAATTCTGTAAGTTGTAACACCAAAGCTTATGAAAACTGACACACAGATGAATTGCCATCCCACCCAGTGTTAGCCATTTACTTTAGTTGATTAAATTAGCTAGACTATTCCTTTCTATATTTAACAGTAACAGGTTTCTGCAGCCAATGATTTATCAGTGTATGTGTAATTTGTAATGATATGGACTGGACAGCATGGGTCTAAAAAGAGTATGGGCTTAAAATATGCTTTTGAAAGAAACTTTAGAACCTGAGATGGTTCTAAAGCACATACAAGTATAAAAAGTTATTGTAAACTCAGATTAAAGCAAAATGTTTTAACTATCAACTTTAGCTTTCACAAACACTGCAATTTATAAAGTTAACACTCACCATGAAGTTCATTAAAAGGTAGAAAAATGCTATGCAATATTTGTTTTTAAATAAATTAAAATAAAAATATAGCCAACCTGATTTAGGATCCTAAATAAATATCAGATTTTGAAAAGTATTTAGTTATTCCTTTGTCACTTCTAACACTATATTTGCAAAAGCTCTCACTTCTTAACAAGAAATCTTTGGAAAGACTTCCTATTCCAAGCTGTGTTTTAGTAGGAAGAGCAGGTAGGAAGAGTTTTCTTGTGAAAATGTGTGCTCATTTCTCATGAAATGTAGCACAAAGACATTAAGAACAAAGCAAATACTAAGCCCCGTTCAAATGTATTGTAAAATAGTCCTTCCCAAGAATCTAGTTCAACACCAGTAATACAAAGCCAAGCCATCAAACAGCTTGGAGGATAGAATTCTTATTGTGCTGGGAATTCCAGCAGTTCTTCATTCTGATTTGGAATGCAACTTTAGAAATGTTTCATTTTTGTCAGACAAAAAGTCTCAGACTTACAGCAGGCTTACAGACTGCTAAATACCTCTTTTTTATATTCAGAAATGTCAAACTAAAACATACTGCATCTAATTTTTGGAAAATTAGATAACATAGATCTGACATTTTTCTGGAAAAAAAAA